CCTCCCCCTGCGGGACTGGGGCTGGCGCGCCCCAGACCCTGGCCGCGGTGTCTTCATGATGACAGCAGCCCCCTGTCGGGAACAGCGCGCACCCGAGTATGAAACGCTTTCATGTGGGTTTCCACGGGGTCCTCACACGGGAGCTCAGGGAAGGAGGCCAGGGAATGGACTGTTGTCCCATTTTGCAGACAGAAAACCAAGGTCCAGAATGGGGAGATGTGCGTGGGGACTCCCAGCGAGGTGGTGGCGGTGGGAGACAGGTCTTGCTCCTCCAAATGCAGCCCCCCTTCCATCGGGCCACTCCGCCGCACCTGTCAGAGGAAAGGGCGGAGCTAAGGGATTGGTGAGGCCAATGACTGGCAATTCTTTATTTTTTACCCCCTCCTTTCCTTCTGTTCCTCTCCCTTACCCCGCCCCCACTTCCCTTTCCTTCCCTTCTGTTCCCTCTTTCTGTACCACCCAGGTCAGAACTAAGAAGTATTCAGAAGCCAAGTCATGGATCCACCTGCACGTAAAGAAAAGTCCAAAGTTAAAGAACCTGTCAGCAGAGTTGAGAAGGCCAAGCAGAAATCAGCCCAGCAGGAGCTGAAGCAAAGACAGAGAGCAGAGGTGAGGTTACATACCTATCATCTGGTGGAGGTGACGCGGAAGAGAGAAATCGTCCGCCTGTGATGGGGAGCCCCGCCTGCCTGCAGGCAAAACAGGCGTCCTCCAGGTTTAGAGAGATGATCGTTGAGGGCCAGAACGGTGAAGTGCCAGCCCATGGTGGCATGCCAAGTTAGTGTAGGGTCTCCAGGTGACTCCTGGGGCAGAGGTTTGTGCTAGGGACCCGAGGGCAGGGAGAAAGGAGAAAGAAAAGGGACATGTGAGAGCGGGGTCAGTGAGAGAACGCGTGTCAGACACCCCAGCACAGATGTTCTGCACCCACCGGTGTGTCCTTTGGTCCGTCAACACTTACCATCAGTTTGTGAATAAAAAGTTGAAACTATCGCCCATAACCACCTGAGCCACACCGGCCAGGCCAGTGTTACATTTTTTTCTAGAATTATTTGTCTTGTTGTTTGTGACCATTTTCGTCACTGTGGAATTCCATTTTCCTTAAAGATTATAGGATTTTATCACAATAAAAATATTTTTATGAAAAAAGGTTATAGGATCATTCAAGCTTACTATTGATTCTAGTCAGTTTCGATCATTTTACTTTCTAGGAATTTATTTCATTTACCTTTCCAAACTTATTGACACCAAGTTCATAATGTTTGCTGTAATCTCTATTACATCAGTATTTCTGTGGTGTGTGGTTTTTTTAATTCTAACAGTGTTGTTTGTGCCTACTCCCTTTTTGTCTTGGATCAGTCATGTCGGTTTGCTTTAGCATTTTCAGAGAACCACCTTTTGGTGATCCTCTCTATTGTACATCGGGCTGCTTTTCCATTAATTCTGCTATTATCTTCTATGTGTCTCACTTCTCAATTTCTTTATTTGCCCCTTTCTTGTCTTTTTAATTCATCAAGAGTTATTTTCCCTAAACACAAACATTCCCTTTGTTTTTGTTCTACAAATTGGGAAGTTATATGATGTGTCTGTTCTGTAGTGGACAGGTTGAGACTACAAGGACAAACAAAGATGAGGACTAAGGTAGAGCCCCTGCTCTTCACCTTAGAATGTCTGTTGCAGTTTTTGTTCCAGCCCACCGTCTGTCCTCGGTCCATTCTCACTGATGTAATAGATGCCTCCTATGTGGCCTGTCATCTCTCCTCCGCCCACTCCATCCCTCACATGGTCTCCAGTTATCTTTCCCAAAGCCCAGATATAATCAGGTTGGTCCCCTGCACACCTATCTTTGGTGGCTCTCCAGAGTCGGCCAGATAAAGTCCAGGTTCCTTGGCATGGCAGTTAAGTCCCTGACATACTCTTCTTGCTTTCTCCAGTTCCCCAACCCTCCTCTATAGTATCCTTCATATTAGCATACTTGAAGTTTCCAGAACTAATCCTGTACTTTTCCATTATATTTATTTAATCATAATATCCCCCGTCCCCATCACCTATCAAGTCCCTTCCCCAAACTCTATCTGTTCAAATCCTACAGATCCTTTAAAGGCCAGATTAAGTCACCTGTTTCACTGTTTCCTGATTCCCCAAATGGAACGAATATCTGCTTCTCCTGTTCCCTTACTGGTGCAGTTCCGGCACTTTCAAGTGGCGCCGCCTGTTGTGTCTGAAGATAGGTTGAGCAGCTGCCTCCATTGCTAACACATCTTTTTCCCCCCTTAGATTTATGCCCTTAACAGAGTCATGACCGAACTGGAGCAGCAGCAGTTTGATGAGTTCTGTAAACAGATGCAGCCTCCTGGAGAGTGAGCCGCCCGTGTTCAAACCAGATGGGACCCCTGAGGCTTTGTCTGTGAGCTCAGTACCAGTTTTAAGCTGAGGTGGCCCATGTGGAGCCTGACAGAACTAGACAAGAAGGCATTTGTGTTATTCCTAAAACTGGATGAATCTGAACTTCCTATATGTAACTTCTGCTTCACTGGTTCCTCCAATTTGAATTGGCCCAATGCTTGCTGAAGAGACTTGTTTTATTCTCCTAAGATAATACTCTTATTTTTTAGACCTTTTTCTATTGTTTGAGAAAAATCAGTGTTTCTTGTGAAACTGTAAATCTCCAAAAAAAATAAAATACTAATAAAATGTGCATTTGCTCATACTTTACTTGGGGGTGCCTAGCCATAAGAAATGGATCAATGTTATAGGAGAGGAAAAGTGAGGTGAGCAGAGGGAACCCTTGCTCCTTCAGGAGGAGAGTGGAAGAGAGCGGGAGAAAATGCGGCTGCTTCCAGTTCTCATTCTTCCTGGGGCTGAAACTCTGCAGTCCCCTGATCCTCCGTTTGTAGCCACACACTGTAAATCTGTGCCCCTCTGCTCCCCGATGAGCTGCTACTCAGGGCCAGAGCTGGAAGCCAGGGTCCTCTCACCTTGCAAGTGTGGACAGCTAGCAGCAGGCCTGCACCAGCAGGAGAAGAGGGCAGGCATTGCTTTTTCATTTGGCAGTGACTTCACCAGGCCTAGAAACGGATTTAGGATGGGGATATTCAGGCTGGAATGTCGGAGCTCATGGATGTTTGTAAGATTTGCACTACATTATACTAACATTGTATATAGCTCTCTAGAATGTGCAACTAAGTCAATTCATCTCCAAAGTAAACCTTTTTGAGTGCCAGGTATTGGCAGACAGCAGAAATCCAAAAGCATGTTTATGAAGGAAGTTACAATATAGTGAGACAGACATAGTCATCTAATTCTGAAAAAACATGTATGGTAGATGAATAGAGAGCAGTGGGGGGCGGGGGGGGAGAGGGACTGTGTTTCTATAGAGCCAGATCAGAGCACTGTGGACTTCTCTGGATTTTTATTTTTAAATCCTCAATTCAGTTTGAAAGCATATTTGCCACATACATTGTTCTGCAAACTTCAAGAAGTTAGTCCTGAGGTAAAAGTGCTCTGGTGCCCAGCTGAGGAAAAGGTGGACAGCCAGCAATCCTTTGTATACCATCTGCAGGTAAAAGTCAAGAGAGTGCTGGGGTTTGCTGCTTTTAGCAGACCTATGTTCTTTTTTGAGGTGTAACTTTAGGGTTCCATAGATACTGTTTATTTCTATTCACTTTGGATTTTAGAATATGAGTGGCATTTTGAATATCTAGAGTTTAGTACTCTAGACCTTAGGAAAAAAGCATATACTGAGGGCCTAGAATCCAAATGATCCTTCAAGCTTCCAATATGACTAATCTCTAAATGAAGCAAAAGGCAGAAGCTTTGTTGAAATAATTACAGAATTTCAAATTGGGCAACCTGATTGTCCTATGACTAGCTCTGCTTTATGGAGCCAGAGTATGTAAATTCATTGCAGCATTATAACTAGAGGCCCGGTGCACAAAAATTTGTGCACTGAGGGGGTCCCTCAGCCCAGCCTGCCCCCTCTCATGGTCCGATAGCTCTCAGGGGATGACCTACTGATGGCTTATGGGGGAGCGGGCCTAAGCTGCAGTCTGGCCTCCCTCTGCGGGAGGCCACCAGGCTGATCAGGGGAAGGTGCCGCCCCCATCACCCCGCTGCTGCTGCCACTGCCACTGCCACTGCTGGCCACTGCAGCTTCCAGCCCTCAGCCATTGCAGCCGCCAAGGTGTTTTCATCAACACAGACTCCAGTCCCTTCACCACAAAAATATGACAACTTTCCTTGGGTATTTTCAAGATGTCTCTTTCATAGGATATGACATTTCTTTCTTTCTTTTTTATCCTCCCTGAGGATATTTTCCCACTGATTTTTAGAGAGCATGGAAGAGAGAGGGAAAGACAAAGAGAAACATCAATGTGAGAGGGACACATTGATTAGTTGCCTCCTGCATAAGCCCTGACTTGGACCCATGGTGCAGCAGCCATGGGGGCTGCTGATCAGGCCCTGCCTCTCTCTCCCCAGCCCTCACAGCAGCCACAGTGGCTGCTGATCAGGCCCTCCCCTGGGGAAGGCTCAAGGAGGCCCTCACCACGGCCCCGCCCCTGACACGGCAAGTCCCCGCCCACCCGTGCCTGCTGCACAGGCAGCCTGCTGATCAGTCGTTACTATGACGGCATCTTGTACAATTTGCATATTCCTCTATTATTAGTATAGATAGCCAAGATATGGAAGCAACCTAGGTGTCCATTGATAGATGATTGGATAAAGAAGAGGTGCTACATATATGCAATGGAATATTACTCAGTTATCAATAATGAAATCTTACCATTTTTAACAACATGGATAGACCTAGATGGTATGTTTAGAATAAGTCAGACATAGAGGGCATTATGCTAAGTCAAATAAGTTAGACAGAGAAAGACTAACAACCACATGATTTCACTTATCCGTGGAATCTAAAACAACAAACAAAACAGAAACAAACTCATAGATATAGAGATGGTTGCCAGATGGCAGGGAGGTGTGGGCTGGGTAAAAAAGGTGAAGGGATTAAGATGTGCAAATTGGTAGTGACAAAATAGTCATGGGATATAAAGTAGAGCATAGGGAACAGAGTCAATAATGTTGTAACAACTATGTATGCTGCCAGGTAAGTAATAGACTAGACTTATCTAGTAGACTAGACTTTGTACGCTATGTAAATGACTAATCACTGGGTTGTACCCCTGAAACTAATATAATATTGAATGTCAACTGTAAGTGAAAAAAAATTTTTTAAAAGAAATGCTATGTGGCTGGTGTGGCTCAATTGGTTGAGCATCGTCCCATGAACCAGGAGGTCATGGTTCAATTCCCAGTCAGGGCACATGCCCAGGTTGTGGACTTGATTCTCAGTAAGGGGCGTCAAGAGACAGCCAATCAATGTTTCTCTCGTTGATGTTTCTATCTCTCCTCCCTTCCACTCTAGGAAATCAATAAAAACATATAAAGAGAGAGAGAGAGAGAGAGAGAGAGAGAGAGAGAGAGAGAGAGAGAGAAGAAAGAAAGACAGAGAGAAAGAAAGAAAGAGAAAGAAAGAAAGAAAGAAAGAAAGAAAGAAAGAAAGAAAGAAAGAAAGAACGAAAGAAAGAAAGAAAGAAAGAGCTCTAGCCAGTTTGGCTCACTGGATAGAGTGTTGGCCTACAGACTGAAGGGTCCTAGGTTCAGTTCTGGTCAAAGGCTTGTACTTCAGTTGCAGGCTCTATCCCAGGCCTTTCTTTCTCTTTGCCTCTCTTCCTCCCTTCCACTCTCTCTAAAAATCAATGGAAAAATATCCTCGGGTGAGGGTTAACAAAACAAAACCAAAAAAAAAAAAAGAAATAAGAAATACCTTAGTGAACTGAGTCCTACCCCATTACTGGATCAATACCAATTCTGATGAGTTTCCTTTCCAAGGGATTAATCTTAGTGCAAAAGGTCACACAACTGGTTATAGAGCTGGAATGCAAACCTGGCCCAAAGTGAGCTTGGAAAAAATTCTGTTCCATCCGACATGAACAACTGTTGTCCTGAAGGGGTTCAGATCCCTGAATAAAGGGGAAGAAGGGAAGGCTGCTGGCCCTACTATGGGCTGTTCTGGTTTGAGACACCATGTATCTACCACAAGCACAACACAGGAACAAGGAAAGATTTAGTGAGGATAAGGCAACAGGCTGGCACAAACCACACACGAAGCCAGAAGGAGTGGGAAGAGCTGTTTAGTTTCTTAGATGCGCTTCTTGCCTAAGACACTCTGTCTTGCCCCACAGAACATCTGGAAAGAAGATGTAGGAGAGAGACCACATCAGGCAATAAAAAGCAATTATTGAGAATGGAGAAAAAAACAGTATGATGACACCTGGAAGGAGAAAGAAATACAACACTCAGTTTTTATGAAGCTTTCTTACATGTATTTCCCACCCCTCTCCTCTCTCATCCCCACTCACCTCCAAGATAAACGATTTTTTTCCAATTCTCAGATTCCAGGATTTCATCATGTGGGTAGTAGCTCTGGTCCATCATGAATAGAATCATAAGTGAGGCCATGCAGGAGAGAATGAACGTGTTGCCTTTGGTCAGAAGGGCGGTGGAGGCCAGAACACAGGAAGCATAGGGGCAGGGTAGACCCTTGTATGTGAAGGAAAGGCCGCCTGGGGAAAGAAAAGATGGGGATTAGCTGTTTGCTGCTGATCTCAAGGTATCTGCATGAAGCAGGCCCCTGTCACCTTTGGGTTTTCCCAACCCCTCACTCCAAACCCCCTTAATCTCAGGACAGTAGCAGGCTGTAAAGCATTTAGCTATTCATGGAGACGGTGCATGGGCTCGCATTGGATCCCCAAGGCACTAGGAAAGCAGACTGCTAGGACCAGGGGTGTGCCTTGGCCCTAGGAAGCCTCTGTAGAAGGGCCCTAGATCTAGGCTGCATCTGTACTCCCTTGCGTTGGAATCTTAGGCAATTGCCTTTGCCAGAGCTCCGTATCTCCATCTGTTTTAGGAAACTGGAGTACAACCTCTGGGTCTAGAAGAGTCTAAATCCGCTGAAACCGGTTTGGCTCAGTGGATAGAGCGTCGGCCTGCAGACTGAAAGGTCCCAGGTTTGATTCCGGTCAAGGGCATGTACGTTGGTTGCGGGCACATCCCCAGTGGGAGATGTGCAGGAGGCAGCTAATCGATATTTCTCTCTCATTGATGTTTCTAACTCTCTAATCCATGTGCTTCATCCAAAGGTTACGTAGTGAGAAAAAGGCATAGCTGGCCCAAGAATGAGGGCCCTAACATCCCCATCCCCCACCCCCCACCCCCGACCTCCTCAGACTAGGGCTCTTCCAGTGCAGCCTCCAGCCTCCAATGGGTCTGGGGCACAACAGAAGGAAGGAAGAGGGACTTTATAAAAAGAAGGAGAGGAGTCAGTTACTGCACTCAACAGTTCCTCCCCCTCCATGGTTCCCAAGCTCAGACATAAGGCTGGGTTTCACTCACTAGCTGAATAAAAACACAGGCGGAAAGAAGCAGCTAACACATAGATGATGGCCAGGAGCCCATTCAGAGGCCCATCCACGCCTAGGAGCAGGGCCGAGGCCAGGCCAAAGGTGGTGAAGACAGCAAAGTCATTCAGCTCAGCTCCTGCTCCAGAATGCCAAGGTTAGAACTTACACTTATACATCGTGTACATTAGTCCCCTCTGGTGGGGGTGCTGGGATGGTGACAAGCACGGTCTGAGGTCCCAGAAGGTAACATCTATTCCCCTGGGTGTCTATAGATCAAAGACTGGTCTTATTCTGGCTCCACCTTAGAATGACCATGTGGCCTTAGAAAGTCTTTCCTGACCCAGGTCTTAGTTCCACCCTTTAACATGCAAGGATTGGACTACAACTGGATACAAATTAAGAAACTATGGAACCATTTTTTCAAGCAAAATCTGACACAAAAATATTTTTTTGATCAACTGCTCTGCTTGGAGTAATTTTTCATTTCCCCTCTCTCCCACCATCACAACCACCATTCCCACTCCCAGTTCTTGGACTGGTTCTGAACAGGAATTCAGGGGAGACAAGACAACTGAAAGCCAGGCTAAGGATAACCAGAGATCAGTAAGCGAGCCAGCAAAGGAGCTAGATCTAGGCTGAGGGGCTCCAGCTCCAACACTAGGGTTGCTTCTGCTATACTCAAGGGATGTAAACAGGACTGGTGACTGATAAAGGCCTGTGAGTGTTATACAATGAAGGAGCTGACCTGACATGGGAGCTACTGGGGTCAGGATTTAGGAATCTGAGGCCTGGACTCACCTGATTTGGAGCATATATTGAGATGTCTAGTGATTGTCCTGACTGCCATGTCCATTAGGAAGCCGATCAGAAGCATCCAGGAAGCACAGCTGGATTTCCTAGTGTGGGCCCAAACAGGACAGCTTTCATAGACTCCACTGGACAACCATTTCACACACCTCCAGTACACTAATACACTTCCTACATTTGCACACATACACACCCCTGAAAGTTTCCCACATTCACAGCCTTCCTGATATACACAGCTTTATATGCCATGCACATGTGCACACACACACACACACACACACACACACATTCCTTCTATTCTCTCAACCCACAATCTTGAAGTGGTGCCCAAACCTCCTAGGTCCGTGGTCGGCAAACTGCGGCTCGCGAGCCACATGCAGCTCTTTGGCCCCTTGAGTGTGGCTCTTCATAAGCCTTAGGAGCACCCTAATTAAGTTAATAACAATGTACCTACCTATGTAGTTTAAGTTAAAAAAATTTGGCTCTCAAAAGAAATTTCAATCGTTGTACTGTTGATATTTGGCTCTGTTGACTAATGAGTTTGAATCACTAAGGTCCCCTCCAACTCTAAGTTCCAGGTATATTCAATGGCCCAAGGGTCTTAGGTTCTAGCCCAGCCTCTGCAAGTACGTATATTACTGTGAATTCTCAGATAAATCACTCCCCTCTTTCTCTAGGCCTTTTTGTTCCTCCATCTGTAAAATAAGAGGTTTGTACCAAATGATTTCTTTAACACATATAACAGTAGGCCTATTCGTATTATCTATTTCTCTTACTGTGAGTTCTGATAGTTTAGATCTTTTAAGGAATTGGTCCATTTCATCTAGGCTATCAAATTTGTGGGCACAGAGTTCATAATATTCTTTTATTATACTTTTAATGTTCGTGAGATCAGTAGTGATGGCTCCTCTCTCATTTCTGATATTGGTAATTTGTGCCTTCTCTTTTTTTCTTGGTTAGCCTAGGTAGAGGCTTATCAATTTTATTGATCTTTTCAAAGAACCAGTTTTTTTGTTTCATTGATTTTCCCTATTAATTACTTGTTTTCAATTTCATTGAGTTCTGCTCTAATTTTTATTATTTACTTCCTTCTCTTACTTTAAGATTTAATTTGCTCATCTTTTTCTAGTTTCCTACAGTGGAAGCTCAGGTTAGTGATTTTAGATCTTCCTTCTTTTCAATTTTTCTAAAACTATTTTGAGTAATGTTAGGTTTATAACATTAGAAGGAAAGTACAGAGTTTTTCCATATTTCTCCACCTCTCACATATGCATAGTCTCCCCATTATCAACATCACTTACCCGAATGGTATATTCTATTTCTTGGTACATAACCAAGGATGAACCTACATTGACACATCATAATCAGCCAAAGTCCATAGTTTACCTTAGGATTCATTCTTGGTGGTGTACATTCCGTGGATTTGGACAAAGGTATAATGACATATACCCATCATTATAATATCATATAAAGTAGTTTCACTCTCCTAAAAATCCTGTGCTCTACTGAATCAGGTCCTCCCCAAGCCCCCTATCCTTTCTGGCAACCAATGATCTTTTTATTCTCTCCATATTTTTTTTTCCGACTATGTAGACTTTCAGATTAGCTACTTTCATTTAATAACATGCATTTAAGTTTCTTCCATGTTTTCTCATGGCTTGATAATTCATTTCCTTTTTGCACTAAATAATATTCCATTGTCTGGATGTACCACAGATTTTTTTTTATCCATTCACCAAGTGAAGGACATCTTGGTTGCTTCCATGTTTTGGCAATTATGAATAAAAGACCATAAACATACAATTGTGTTATTTTCCTATTGTTAAGTTTTATAATCCCTTATCCAATTAATCTTTTGCAAATATTTTCTCCCAGTCTGTGGCTTGTCTTCTCTTTGCTTCTTCTTCTTTTTAATCCTCATCTGAGGATATGTTTTTATTGATTTTAGAGAGAGGAAGTGAGAGAGAGTAAAAAATCAATATGCAAGAGAAACACCAATTGGTTGCCTCCTGTAGCCCAACAGGGATCAAACCCACAACCTAGCTATGTGCCCTGACTAGGAATCAAACCTGCAATATTTCGGTGTACAGGATGATGTTACAGCCAACTGAGCCACCTAGCCAGACCTGTCTTCTAATTCTCTTAATGTAGTCTGTTGCAGAGCAGATTTCTCTTCTAGTATATGAATGTAATGCTATGAATTTCCGTCTAAGTACTGCTTTTACTGCATCTCACAAACTTTGGTAAGTGATACTTTCATTTTCTTTGAGTTAAAAATATTTTTTAATTTCTCTTGAGCTTCTTTTATTTATATATTATTTAAAACTGTGTTTAACCTTTACATATTTTGAGATTTTCTAGTTATTTGTTATTGACTTCTAGTTTAATTCCATGTGGTCTGAGAGTGTATTTTATATAGTTTCTATTCTTTTAAATTTATTAAGGTGTGTCTCATAGCCTGGAATGTGGTCTATCATGGTGAGCTTGAGAAGAATATGTATTCTGCTGTTGTTGGATGAAGTAGTCTATAAATATCAATTGGACCCAGTTGATTGATAGTGCTATCAGTTCAACTATGCCTTTACTGATTTTCTGTCTGCTAGCTCTGTCAATTACTGACAGAAGGGTGTAGAAATATCCAACTATGATGGTAGAGCCATCAATTTCTCCTTGCAATTGTATCAGTTTTTATCTAATGTATTTTGATGTTGTAAATGACTCCCAAGAGCTCTTTCAGATCCAATATTTGAGGATTCTATGCTTCTGTCCAGCACGTGCTCCTGGACCCCTTTGAAAGCAACCACCCCAATCTCTGGCAAGCCTGCCCTAGGAGGCCATCCCCAAGTCTGCACTCTGACTGCAATGCTTGGGTGGCCCAGTAGAAGGAAACAGAAAGCCTGACCCCAGACCTCAGCTGTCCCCAAACAACCTCATCGTTTCCTTTGTTTAGACCTATGCCTATGTGTTTAAAGGAACTGGGCCCATGATAATAACATAAAAAACACACTCCCAGAAGATTAGGCTAAATTAAGAAAATAAAGATTTGCTGCTGCAGGTATGCCTCACTTTATGAGACTCCCTAAACCTAGACTTAGAGAATCATAAAATTTTCAAACTGGTAGGGAACTTAAATATCATGAGACACAAATCCAGAAAAGCCATCCACTGATGATTATAGAGATTCAAACAGATTAGGAGGATGTTATTTGCATTATAAAGGATTTATCTATAAAGAGCCAATTTGCCAAGGCATTGAAATATGACTCAATTTATAGAAATACCATTTGCTTACAACTTTTTGAGACCCATATACATGTCTCAGATTTTCCAGAGCAGTGTTAATTTTAAATATTCCACCAGATCATGTGTTCTTATTTAAGAATTTAAAAATTTGAATGGTAGTGTACATACCCAATAATTGTGTAGCAAGCACGTCAAACGCGCGGCCAGCAGCTGGCGGCCGGCCAAGGCATGTGCCCTGCCAGCCAGGAGTTTGACATGCTTGGTAAAGGCTACCAAAGCAGAGCCTCCTGATTTTCTTGAAAAACCCTTCTAGACTGCCATATCTGGAAGGAACCATAGAGATCATAGTGCGAGCTCCTTGTTTTAAAGATGGAGAAACTGAGGCTCGGGGATGTGACCTAGCCAAGGTCACATACTAGGTTGATGATAGAACTGAAGCTAGACTCTTGGCCCCTTGACTCCCAACCTGCCACACTTTCTTCTGCCCCCATTTGATCTCCATGTCTCAGTGCCCGGCTCTCTAGATTTCCCACTTCTGTCTTCATGCCCATGGCTGAGACCTTGCTGGGCCCCAGACCTACTTGCTGAGGCTGCAGAAGATGGAGAAGAGCCCCATGATCAAGTTGGCCAGCGACAAGACATTGGCAACATCTTTCCAGGAAATTTCATTCATCTGGAGGTGACTCTGGTCTTTGGTCAGGAAGAAGCTGGTGTACTAACCTGTGGCCCAGAGAAGAGGGGCAATGGATTCCCAAGGTCGGAGTCCCAAAAGAGGCTCCGAAGAACCAGGTAGCTCCTGTTTCCCTAGATTTTCTCCCAGAACGTCACCCTCCAAACACTGTTCCACTGGCTGGAACGAGGCAGACAGTAAGTAGGTGGAGGAGACACGGAAGTAAAGACGAAGGAGTTGAAGCTGAGTGTCTTGGGAAAGCACAAGAGCGAAGCAACTGAACCAGCACAACCATAGTTCCCATGCCTCTCTGACTACATCCCTTACCCCATAGTACAAACCTCCCTCTAGCCATATGCTGACCCTCATGGCACCCCATGACCCAGGGTACAAAAGTATGGGCCCTTCCCCCCTTCTGAACTCTTTGTCATAGATGAGACTTTTTTTTTAATTACAAAGCTATTATCAATACTTTTGATGAGCCCCACAGAAATAAAAAGCACTGGAAAGGGGTAACACACACACCCGAGGAGTGGTCCAGGGGAGAGAGGCTACCTGAGGGGAAGGAAGCACAACAGGGACCCGCTGCAGATCCAGCCTCCTCTGTCCTGCAGGCCACGCTCACGCCCTCAGGACAGGACTGCGACTGAGGTGCCTTAAGGTTCTGGTTCTGACAGGCCCCAACCAGAGCAGCAGGCCCAGCTCCAACAGGGGAAGGAAAAGGTGAGAAACAAAATGAATGTGTATAGCATAGACTATTTCACAAGGCGCTTTCACTGTGTGCTCTCTTCTGATCCTGACGATTTCAGGAGACAGTGCTATTGTTCTCACCATTTAACCCTCACTCATTTTTTTCAATATATTTTTTATTGATTTCAGGGAGGAAGGGAGAGTGAAAGAGAGATAGAAACATGAATGATGAAAGAGAGTCATTGATCAACTGCCTCCTGCACCCACCCCACCCCCCACACTGGGGATGGAGCCTGCAACTCAGGCATATACTCTGACTGGGAATTGAACTGTGACCCCCCGGTTCATGGATCAGGACTCAACCACTGAGCCACATTGGCCAGGCAAATCCTTACTCATTTTAGAGGTGAGGAAGCTGAGACTCTGCCTCCACTCAACATTTCTGTACAGTCCCAGGCCCTCTGGTCTGGACAAGAGCTAAGACAATCATGGTCCTTTCACATAAACCCTGACACCAAGATGTCAGAGGCTGGGAAGGGCTGGACTTGCAGTTTGGGACTGGGAGTTTATCAGGGCAGCACTGTGGGTTCACTGTTCCCACAGGCCACCGTTTCATCAAGGGTGTCAGTGACCACATACCAAAGCCACTGGGACTCCTCAGACCTTCTCATGCCAGGGCCACTGAAAACCTAAGACTGGAAACTATGTGAGCCAGAATTATAGGAGAAGAGGGGAGGGGGAAAAGGACTGGCTGCACACTCCCTCCCCCTGAACCCCTCCATTCTGGTCTCCCCTGGGCCTCAAGGCTGACCCCAGCAAACCCAAACACCACTATCACAGCCTAGTCCACTGTTACCTGGAAGAGCAGCATCCCAGCATCTCCGCCTTTAACTGGCAGTCAGCAGGTGCCAATTATTAGACACACCTCATCATTACCAGTTCGGTGTTTTTTAAAATTAATGCTCGGTTATCTACTATGTTATTTCTTTGATTCACAAAACACATTCACCTCTGTGGTTTTCATTGGCACTGTGAGGTCTATCAGGTAAGGATCACTATCCCTACTTGCCAGGTAAGACAAAGAAGACACAGAGAGGGGAAGAACTTTGCTCAAGGTCACTGACACCCTTTGGAAGTGGCAGACTAAGACTCAAGACTTCTATAAGGTTCCTCTGTATTCTGCTGTCTACCGACCATCAGGACCAAGCATATTCACCGTAAACTCAGACTGAGCTAGGTGCTGGGGAAAACCCTTGGTCCTTGTCTCCATGGAACTCCTAGGCTATCCAGGAAAAGAACTCATGCATGCATGTGGAGACTTACTCTGTTCCTGGAGGTACCCATCTGACAGACGGGGAAATGGAAGTTTCAGGATAGTTAAGCAGCTTATCCCAGTAAATGGTGGAACCAGGATTGAATCAGGTCTCCTCTTTCCCAATTCAATGCTATTTTTAGCATAACGAACATGTCCCAGGTGTAAAAGAATGTGGACCTGAGAGTGAGGGCTATAGAAATCCAGAGGGAAAAAAGAAACAATCTATTCACTCAGCAAACATTTAATCATAAGCAAGATTGGTGCCTGGTGCTTGGGACACAAAGTCTAAGTCCTGGTCTCATTTCTCAAGGAATTCAGCCTAGCAGAAGATTCAACCCTGCACTGAAGTGACCAGGATGCTGAGGCAACATAGAAGAGGGGAGCAACAGGTCAGGGGCTTAGAGAAGGTTCCTCAGAGGTGGGGGTCATAAATGAGGCATTGCTCCCTAGCTTCTTGGAAGCCATCAGTGGCTCCCCAACGCCCTCAGGATGGCATAGTATTCCAGCTCCTTCATTTGGTATACAAGATTTTCATAATGAGGCCATGCTCAACTCTTAGCCTCCTATCTCCATTGCCTGTTAATCCTTTCTCTGACCCTTCCTCTGGTCTTGGGTTGGGGGGTGGTCCTCTTTAGGAAGCCTGGCACACCATACCACCCCAAACCTGTTAGGTGCTCCTCCTCTGTACTGCCACATGTCCTGTACACACCATGTCACACTGGGCACTCTGTATTGGCATTGCCTATCTTGTCTTCCTCTCTACTACAGGAGAAGCAACGTGAGTGCAGGCCAAGGTTCCCTGTGCCCACTCTGAGGCCTGGCAATAGAAGCTGTTCAATGAGTGATACATTAACAGCGTACGTCACTCTGGTGCTTCCCTGAGATCCTCTCACTGCACCCAATTACGTCTCTTCCTGCACCAAAGCCTGGTCAGTTTGTCCTCCAAGAAGCCTTCTCAAATGAACTCTCAACAATTCCGCGGCTTCATCACACGTGACATCTACCCAACGCTCATGATCTTCCATTTATTCAATTAAAAAAAATATATTTGCTGATGCCTGCTCTGTAAAGGCCTGTGTCATCTGGAGGTGGAGAGAACAAGACCCAGGCTGCACCCTCAGGAAGCTCCGAGTCTGGTAGGGGAGGCAGACATGTGTAGGGACAATGAAGGCAGCATGGCAAGTGTTCGGTTGGACAAGGGGATATCCAGTTGCTGCAGGTGCAAAGGGAGAGAGAGACTAAGTCTGGGGGAAGGTTTCACTTGACTGGAGGCAAGTCAGCGGGGATGCCCAGGTGTGACCTTGAATTGCAGCCTGTGGCTAGGCAATGGTGTTTAGTAAGGAGGTGTTTTGGTCAGATAGGAGTGGAAATGGAGGGTGGTCTGAAGGGAACTGCAGAAAACTAGCCATGAGACTGGTGAGGAGAGTGAGTAAGCAGAACTGCCTGAGGTTTCCCAGGAAAAGAAAGGAATGGCCAAGCCGGTCCCTCCCCGAGGAAACCCCAGGAGCAGCACTGAAGTGAGCAGCTCCAAGTGGAGGGTCCAGCAGGTGTGGGGCACAGGACACAGGATATAGTCACTCTATTTAGAGACACCCTCCCTCCCCCTCCACGCTCCCACTCCACCCCACCCCACCCCACCCCTCGGGGCCAGCATCCCTCAACAACAGAAAGCAGGCCTCTCTTGAGCTGGTCCCTCCGAATTGGAGACACCGGAGCTCCCCACCCGGCTGTACCCCTCCCGGCTGTTCCCTCCCGGCTGTTCGGAATTCAGTCCAGGCTCCACTTGCCGAGGACCCGCCCGTGGGAAAAGGCGCTGGAGATGGAGCCAGGCCTGGCTGCCCACACTTCGGAACCACTCCATCCCCCAGGGACCTGGTTGCTCACCGCACTCGAGGGACACACGCTGCCGCTTACGCTCACCTGGGAACAGGACATTCCTAAATGGGTGGGGCCGCAGTCCTTCCCTGCTTCCTGTGCAGCGAAGGGACCCAGCCAAGCAAGGGGCAGCGGCACTGATCCCAAGGCTCTTGCCCTGGCTCTTAGCTCACAATCCCTGAGAGACAGGGGAGGGGCAGCCGGCTTTAGCTGGCGAAAGAGGGACCTCAATTTGCTGGGGAGCCCTAGGTCTTGTAGTGAGCGCGGTGCGGCTTGGAGACATCTGACGGGAGGGGACTATTTTCGGTCAGGGCGGTGTGGGAAGGCTTGGCAGGTGAAGAGAATACAATGCATGGTGAATGGGAGGCGGACTGGAAGAGAGTTGGGAAGGTAAGCCGAAGGGATGGAAGCTGGGGTCCTAGGATGTAAGGTCCGTGTGGGCAAGGCTTGCACTGTGAGGTGCACTGGTGTATCCTTGTGCCCCTAAGAACGTTTAGGCGTACAGCAAGTCTCCACCCCCATCCCCACCCCCCATATTTGTTGGATAGACAAGCTGAGTAATTTACACCCAGTCCTGAAAATAGTACGTTTTTAAATATATATAATCTTTATTGATTCCAGAGAAGAAGGGAGAAGGAGAGAGATATCAATGATGAGAATCATTGATTGGCTGCCTCCTGCACGCCCCCTACTGGGGATCGAGCCCAAGGGTCCACAGGCTGACTGGCCACTGAGCCCCAAACCAGCTAGGGCAGTTACATTTTAAGCAGGAAAGTGAGGCGGTCAGGTTGGTTTAGAAAGATTATTCTGGCAGCCAGTGGAGGAAGGCTCTGTAATACTGCATTGTTGGTCAGCAACTAAAGGGAATGGGAAGTAGCAGACTAGGAGCCAAGGTGAGATGGGATCCCAAGAGTGTGGGAGAGGAATGAGAGGGAGAAGGTAAGAGTCTCTCTAAAGCAGCGGTTCTCAACCTGTGGGCCGCCAACAATGAAAATACTTCCTGCATATCAGATATTTACATTACGATTCTTAACAGTAGCAAAATTACACTTATGAAGTAGCAACGAAAATAATTTTATGGTTGGGAGTCACTACAACATGAGGAACTGTATTAAAGGGTCGCGGCATTAGGAAGGTTGAGAACCACTGCAAAGTGACTAGATTTGGCCACTTGGATGAAGAGTGTGCTACAGAAAGAACTTTGTTAATATTGGGTAGGATCCCAGGCACCAGTTCTAACACCTGCCCCACATTCTCCCACCCACCCTGCCACTAAGTTAGAGGGATATGCAAAGAGCAGGGGCGGAGTTAGGAGCTCAAGTGGCACTGCCTCTCCTAGTAACCTGGAGGGAAAAGTCACAGCACAGGATTTAGTGTGTCCTGGTGGCTATAGCCACAGGGCATGTTCAATGTTTTACAGGCAGTGTCATCATTTATTAGATTTTCTCAAATGCCCAAGGTATTAGCATTCCGTTCTCCAGAAGAGGAAATAGTGGATTCATTGATTTTATTGAAGGTTATACCATTAATAATTCGTGAAGCTGAGACCTGAACACAGTCTGACATGAAAGTCAGATCTAAGGTGTCTGAGAAACTAAAAGGAAGAACCAGGATGGGGGCAAGTTCATCCAAGGTGTGCTGCAAGTTCAAGCCAAGGGCCAGATTGACTTCTGTCACTTGTGTTTCTCTTAATTTGTCCATGCCATGTGGTCCATTAAGGTGGTAAATTAAAAACTGTAGCATAATGGTTATAATACTGGCTTTAACTATTTTTTTTTCCTTTTTTGTGGCTTTAACTTTTAACCAAGTTACAGCACTAACACTGACCAATTGTGTAAATTTGAACAAGTTACCTTGTTTCATGAACCTACATTCTAGTCCAGTGATGGCAAACCTTTTGAGATCGGCATGTCAGCATTTTGAAAAACCCTAACTTAACTCTGGTGCCGTGTCACATATAGAAATTTTTTGATATTTGCAACCATAGTAAAACAAAGATGTATATTTTTGATATTTATTTTATATATTTAAATGCCATTTAACAAAGAAAAATCAACCAAAAAAATGAGTTTGCGTGTCACCTCTGACACGTGTGTCATAGGTTCACCATCACTGTTCTGGTCTGTAAAATGGGATTATATAAAGCACTTAGCACAGAGTAAAAGCTCTATTATTATTATTATTATTATTATTACATGATCATGCATTTGTTAGCTGAAACTTCCCCAAGGCTTCCTTCAGAAGAGGGAGAAAAGCAGGAGTAGCTAAGAAAGCCCCTTTTCTCCATCTTCCAGAAGTTTCTAGTTTCTTCCCATTCTGGATCTCACAGGAAGTGAAGAACAAGAATAAGTAAGGTTAGACAATCTACCCTTGTGATAATATGGTAGCCACTAACCCTATCTGGCTCTTCAGCACTTAAAATATGACTAGTCCAAATAGAGACATGCTATAAATACACACCAGAGTTTAAATATTGTTTAAAAAAATAAAATAACTAATATTTTTTAGTATTATCTATTGAAATGTTAATATTCTGCATATACTGGGTTAGTACAATGTATTATTAAAGTTAATTTCACCTGTTTCTGTTTTTTTAATGTAGCTACCAAAAATTTTAAAACCACACATGTGGCTCATATTGTATTTCTTCTAGCTACATTGACTGAGATCCTTTGCAGGATATAAATAAAGGCAGAGCTCCAGATGTCCACCTACTCATCCATTCATTATTAGAGTATTTATTATGTGCCAGGCACTATTTTAGGTGCTAGGGATATAGCAGTAAACAAGGCAGATGCCATTTCTGTCCTATTGGGAAAGGCATCCAATAAGGTCTGGTCGTGATAAGGGCTATGGAAAACAAAGCAGTCAGAGTGATTTTGACATGGGAGCTGGTATTTCTGATAGGGTCATCTGTGAAGTAGTATTTGAGCAGGACCTAAACGATGAGAAGCTGCAAACCATGCAAAGGTCTGGGGGGATATTCCAGGCAGATGGAACAGCAAATGTAAAGGGTCTGAAGCAGGAACAAGCTTGGTGTGTTAGGACGGGAATGGCAGCAGGAACATGGTGAATACTGACAGTGGCAGATCACATCACACCTTGGCAAAAGTTTAGATTTTATTCTAAGTATAATGAGAAATTGTTGGGTTATTCTTATATAGAGGTGTTGTGACCTGCTTTATAATTTTCAATGATGATGCTGACAGTCTCTGTGGAGACAGAATGAAGGGTGAGAATAAAGGTGGGGAGCCAAGGATACTTACTGCATTAGTGTAGGCCAGAAATGTTGGTGTTGTGGACGAAGAGGATAGTGGTGAAGGTGGTCTGAAGCAGTCAGATTTGGGATGTATTTTAAAGACAGAACTAAGATGACTTGCTGATTGGCGTGGGAAGAACAAATGAAATCATGGATGACTTAGGTTTTTGGCCTTGACAACAGTGTGAGATAGATGCTGATGGAAATATGCGGAGAAAACTGGTGATGAAACAGGTTTTTGGAGAGAACTCAAGACTTCCACTTTGGACATGGTTAAGTTTGTAATGATGTCAAATAAGGCTCTTGCATAAACAGTTTGTGTGAAACTTGAGGGAGAGATCAGGGCTGGACCTGCATGTCAGTCAGCAGCATATGGTGGTATTAAAGTCAAGGGGATGGATTAGAGAGAAAGTCAACAGGGCCAAGGGCTTGGCCCAGAGCAGTTAAAAATGTGCCAGGAGCTGAAAAGGTGGAATTAGTGAAGTAGGAGAAAAGCAGATATTGTAATTCCAAATCAAAATGAAGGAAAAAAACCTTTCAAGCAGCGAGTGCACAACTGAATCAAATTCTGCTTAAGACTACAAAGGCCTAATTGCTCTAGGCCAGTGATAGCGAACCTTTTGAGCTCAGCATGTCAGCATTTTGAAAAACCCTAACTTAACTCTGGTGCCGTGTCACACAA